AGGTCGGGTTGCCGTCTCTTCGAGGGCGCCTTCAAGAGCTTCGGCGTGGTCTTCGTCCACATCTTCACGGCGGCGTGCAGGCCGCTCGGCCAGCACAACGTCGCGCTGGTCTACACGGTGGGCCCCATCGGCAAGAGCAGCATTGCGTTGGGAGGTCTGGAGGATGACGCGGAGCGGATTGGAGATGTCATCCATGACCCGTCCGAGTTCGGCGCTTTCTTGCGGAACACTGCTGCGAGCGTCATCGCGTCGGTCTGCGAATATCCAGCTGCCTGCGGCAAGGCCTGCTGCCGTGCCAGCCCGGCACGCTGGGCGGGAACTCTTCGTGGGGCGCACAGGAGGCCGTGAGAGGTGGTACGTCGTGCCCGGAGGCGTGGGAGAGCCGTAGCGTGTGACACACTCCTCCGCGTCGCGTCGGAGGGTCTCTGCTCGTCTTCGTCGTATTCCTCTCGTTCTTCCGTCCTTTCTGAGGCTCCCGTGGGGAAGTCTTGGAGGTCCATCGTGCCATTTGGGGCCGTCTTGGGGCCCTTCTGGGCCGTCTTGGGACACTCTTGGGCACTCTTTGGCGTCTGTCGCGGCCGACGTGGGCGTCTTTGGGCGCTCGAGGGGCTCCTTCAGGGCGTCGTGGGCCCCTCTGGAGGCGCAAGTATTCTGGCAACGATGTATGGAAAAGCAGCTCGTTGGCCCTCTTCGGATCTCGCCTGGAGTTCCCTTGCGGCTTTCGTGGTCTGTGTTGGGGGGCCTCTTGGGTCGTGCTGAGGCCATGTTGGGCCGCCTTGGGGCCATCCTGGGCCCTCTTGGCGGCATCTTGGAACATCTCAGCGGTCTTAGTGGCTTGCCTCGGCCGTTTTTGAAGCCCGGGAGCATGGATCCAGTTCGTTTTACATGGGATCGTGGCCTTGTGAGCGTTGGTCCATCGTTTTTCGCGAGGGACCCTGGTATCGGGAGCGCAGATCCACCGCTTTTTGCCCAGGAATCGTGGCCTCGGGAGGGGGGGATGCATACAGAAGTTTGCGTCGAGCGGGGGTGGCCCTCTGAGGACTGCAGGGCCCTGGGAGACAGCACTTGGCATTCTACCACGCACGGGGCACGGCGGCGGATAACGCGAAGGTGGCGAGACAGCACGCTTTACCGCAGATCCGCGTGTTGCGCATGCCGCTGGTCTCGGGAGGCACGCTCCGCCACCCGTCGCTCTCGAAGGTCGATTGTGCCCAATGCATCCTGACGGGTATTCAAGACGTTGCAGCTGGCCTCCTGCCAGACGCCGTCCCTCTGGAGGTGAACTTCGCATTCGACGAGGGCTGTTTCGAGGATTCAAGCCGGCCCAACCTGGCTGGAGCTGACAGGGTCGGAGGACCGCGCCGCATCGCAGATATGCATCGGCGACGCGGCGAGATCTGGAACCAGACCGGCTCCTTCTTGACGCCGTCGACGCGGCTTCGATCCTCCTACCCGGCCTGCCCCATCCCCGTCCCCGCAGCTTCCAAACGGGCGTTGCCAGAGGCGGTCCTGGCCCACGGCGCCACGCTGGAGCCCTTGGGGCCCCTCGGGGCCTTATGAGGTGCGCCCTGGGAGACCACCCGAGGCTTCACCGGAAGTCCTCTGGGAGGGACAGGGACCTTTGCTCATGCCTCCCGGCTGGGTTCCGAGCAGGTGGGGTCGGAGGATCGCGCCGCACCGCCGATGCATCGGCGATGCGGCGCGATGCGGAAGCCGATTCTCTCCGCGACGCAACGATGCATCGGCAACGTCGGCGTGAGCCTCCGACCCGATCTGCTCCGACCCCTGTCGGGAGGCCCCCTCCTCTGTCAACACCTTGGGCCGTGGGCACCCTCCGGGCGGGCCCAGGACCAGGAGAAGTCGCTCAAGAGCGTCATGGAGCGCTTTCGGAGCGCTCTGGAGCGGCCGCGGTGCCCGACGCATCCTCCAGAGAAATGCCGGCTCTCAGAGGCCCCCGATACGTCCTGGCCCGATGTTGCCCCAAGCCTTGCTTCTCAGGAGGGGAAAAAACACACAGACACAATTAATCGTCGACTCCCAGGAAAATATGGGAAAATATGGGAAGTGGGGGGAAGACAAAAACCCAGAAAATATGGAGCAATATGGGGAATCCTGTTATTTGTGTGTATTTATTTGTGTGTCCTGGGGCCCCTGCAGCTTCGTCTTGCTTCTCAGATGTGCGTTTTGTGTGTTCTTCTTGGGGCACGCCTCACGGATACGTTCGAATGTAGTTCGACCGACCTTCCGCCCGAGGCGACGGACGTTCAACGCAGCATCGACGCAAGAGTGGAGCGAGTGGCTTCACAGGATCCACTCCGCTCCGATCGATCCTGTTCACTGTCGATGCCTGCCGGCCCGATTCGAGTCAGATACTCCGACGATCAGATGCGACCGATGTTTGCGTGGCGCTGTTGTGCATCCCGGCGCAGCCGATCTTCCGTGCTCCTGGATCTACGATCGGGGGCGGCAAAGAGGGGAGTGATGACTAGGGGGGTGGATA